CCAGCAAGCAGAAATATTTCTCCTCCCGATGATGGCCATTTCGGTCGAAACTAGTCGAGGAATCTAAATGGAATAATAATAAAAAAAACGAAAGAATATTAATCTACAACCCAGTGTGTCTAAAGATTTTAATTTTTTTATTTTCTTATTGTTCAATATATATATATATATATATATATATATATATATATATATATATTTGAGGGGTTCTCCCCCTTTACAAAAATGGACTCACCCAGTATATACATATACTACGGCTACGTGAAGACCAGAGAGAGCAAGACCGAGGAGTCAAGTAGAGTCCAGAGTGACAGAGTAAAGGTTGTAGGTAACCGGATGAGTGAGGGGTGAGGTAACAGCGTTGTGGGAGTCACAGTGAGCGAGCACGGAGACTCAGTAAGAAGTTATACAGCGATACTTCAATACCAAATACTGTATATATATATATATATATATATATATATATATATATATATATATATATATATATTGCTACTAACCCGTATTCCTGGAACTACTAACCTGCATTACCAGTTTGTATTATTACGTCAATACATTATTTTCCTATATTCATTCTTAGCGTTTGTTATTTATTGGTACCAGATTTCAACCCGGAATCCACAACATATATATACATATGTGTGTGTGCGTGTGTGTATGTGTGTTTGTGTGTGTTTAACAGCGAAATAAGAAAATCGCGTAACAGCATAATTGTCCATCTCACAAAATGTTTAATATCTAAAAATACACAACTCTAACTGAGCTTCTTTTTTCCAGGTCTTTAGAGAAGACGTTTACACCCGCTGATACTAACTTTCATAAAAATCACGGAAAAAAAAACATTTGAGTTATTCAACTGCAAAGAGTGTCAGCTAATTTTTGAGTTTGTTTTCAAGTACTAATCAACGTCATTAAGGGTATTACATTTATATTTTTCAGCCTAAAAAAGAGGGTGCCTTTATGAATACGGAGCCCGGGCGGCACTTTGCCTCGGTACGCCCCTGGAAAGAGAACAGATTAAAATCGTTTTGTATCAGACCCACTATGTCTTCCCAATTGGGCAATTCTAGAAGGATACAGATCATTCAAAGTTTCAATAATTGTACCAAAATTCATACTCTGGCTTCCATCTTGAAAGTCCATTCAAGAACAATTAAGAGACCGTTGAATACGTTTTAAAATGGGAACAGTAGAAGGGAAAACTTTCTCACGCGGTCACAACAGCAAAAAGGATCATCATTTTCAACTTCGAGATCAATTAGAAAACATCCATCTCAACTGGTAAGATATTTGTCCCATGAGAGAGGTGTTTCAGCTACGACAGTCCAAAGAAAAGAGAAAAAAAGAACTGAAAATCAAACCGTACGTGAAAAGTTTCAGGCAATTTGTTACTCCAAGACACAAAATTAGAAGGTTAGAGAGGGCGAAGATTATCGCGAATAAGTTGTAAAATGTTCCTTTAGTTATATATATATATATATATATATATATATATATATATATATATATATATATATATGCTACAGATCTTTAGCAATGATTAATTAATGATGAACATATCATTTTCGTTTATGAATGATTTCATCACGATTCCTCTTTTAAGTTTAGAGATTAATTATACATTCTTATTGTTCAATAGTCCAATAGATTTATAAAAAACCAAGATAATTCCATAAGATACAATGTTTCATATCTTAATCTATCTAACAATTTTACAATTTTGCTGTTTCCTTCTTTTATATAAAAAATCTTAGACCGACTGACTCGGGAATGCGGCTTATATATATATATATATATATATATATATATATATATATATATATATATGTGTGTGTGTGTGTGTGTGTGTGTGTGTGTGTACATAAATAAAAAGAAAAAACAGTAAGATATATAATCCGGTGTTATTATAGATGTTTTTATTTTTACAAAATAGTGCTCAATGTAAATTTACAGAGCATTAATATTATAAATTAATTGATTTAAAATATGTTTTTTTTCGCTACTCAGTTCTAACCATGATTCTTAAATGGAAACTAAACGCTCCGAATTTAGTTTTGTAATTAAATTAAAGACATTAGTTCCATTTCACCCTCAAGCGAACTTTGGAGTAACTTTTAAAATTACTGGGTTTTAAAGACACAGCTAAAATCATAATTCACGTTTCCAAGGTTACAGATAAATCCACTTCCACGAGACAAAGGGTGTCTCTCTCTCTCTCTCTCTCTCTCTCTCTCTATATATATATATATATATATATATATATATATATATATATATATAAAAATATAGTCTTAAGGTATGCTATATTTATGGAATAAAGTGCTCAATATCAGAGATAGATCGTGAAAATATAAAAGTGAACATTGAAGTCAGCACTTAGAGGCGGCAGTCTGTTTCATGCTAGACGCAATCGTCAGGCCAGTCAATGTTCACTTTTATATATATATATATATATATATATATATATATATATATATATATATATATACATATATGGTTTATCTTCATGGGTTAAGGTGCTCAATATCAGGGATTGAGAGTATATAAATATAGAATTAGACATTGAAGTCAGCACCAATGGTGACAGTCCTTTTTTGGACTGACAGACAATTGTTAGGCCTGACGAATGCGTATAGGTATGAAATTGACGGTTGCGTATGTGTGTTGGCTGTATATCCAACATATATATATATATATATATATATATATATATATATATATATTTGAAATCAATAAATTCAACCGTAATTTATATGCTAATTATTTATTCTCTTTTATTTCACGCATGTCAAATTCCTCTTCTGACTTCTAGATTTGCTATCAAATCTCATCTTCTGATATGTAAATGCAGCGTCAGTCACTATGCTCTGTCTCCTTGAAGCCTGTTTTTTTTATTGCCCTCTCTCATAATTATGTTTTACTCAGGCACTTTTACTCTCAGTAACCTTTTGCATCTTAGTGCCTTTATTTCCTTATTTAGAGACGAAATCATTAAAAATATTAATTACGAAAATAAATATGATAAGGATAATTGAATTCGGAATATTAACCGATTAATAAAAAAAAATTAATATCTTCGAGAAGTTTACCAAGAAATCGAACTCATGATAGACCTTTCCAAATCAGAAAATATGACATGGAATTAAAATGAAAACATCGATGGTGTATATACTGAAGCTATTTCAGGATATGGAATTAGTAAATACTAAACACTTCATATAGATCGACTAATGGATCAATTATAACAAATTTAGTGTGGTAGTAAAAGAAATTGAACATAGAATAGTTTGTGCTAGAGCTAGTTTCCCCAACTACGTGTATTCCTACAAAACCAAGACATCAATCTGAAAACTCGAGTTACGTTCTTAAATAGCCTCATTTCATCGAGGACATTTATATGGATGCCATGCATGACACCAGACACGTTTAGAAAAATCTAAACTCTCAGTTGTATTAAAACCGGTTTCTGAGATTATTGCAAGTGAGTCCTGAGGGTCTTGCCAACGGACCATCCTTCTTTGAACATTGTGGACGTTCCCTACAGAATCAGAACTTTGCCAAATAGCCAGAAGCCACGTCACTTGAGAACTACCAACAGCTGCAACAACTAAAATGGATAGCACATGGAACTCAAAGATATAATAAGGACTTAATCAAGATGTTGACCTTGAACACTACTTCAAATAAAAGGTTAGGATGGAAACCGCTATCACTACTAGAAAGAGTTATAAAAGCTACTGGTATTGAGAAACAAATTTTCCTGAAAATTTGAACGCGTTTGTAAATTTCAAACGAAAATGGCTGCTCGGTTAATGAATACCAGTCCTTGTTAGATAACGGTTGATATTACTGTAGAGTGTGTGGTCATGGTTAAATGTAAAACAAATGAGAGAACTGCCTTAAAAAAAAGAATTGACAAAGTTTGCAATAAACAAGGAACAGAAAAGAACAGTGTAAAAATAATGTAAAGCAAGCAAGCAATATACGAATGTCAGATTAACAGTAATAAGGCAAAGCAACAGTATTATGGAAAAAAATTCATAAACTAAGAATTGGGGTTGACAGACAATAAGAAATTCGGATGAACAAAAGCAGCGCTCTACTTTGAAGAAAAGACAGAGTCATATGACACCGATAATTTTCCTATCTTATTTTCTAGGTAGGAATCCCAACATACATTTGTGTGGTTCTGCCTATAAATTTTGGAGGGGAGAGTATTTTGCAATAATTCCTAATCTGAATGGAACTAATATTTAAATTGTAAGGAAACATTCCCCATTCGTTGAACTTTCATGATGTCGTTTGACATTTATGAAAATCTCCCTCTTAATTTAATTTCTTTTTAAGGAAAAAGGCTTTCTCAAATCCAGACATTGTTAATTCTGTTTCAAGTAATGATGTGTGTTTCCTTCCTTGGCTTTTGTTTCGGGTAGAGCGGAAGTCAAGCATTTTCATTATGCCATTATTCTGTATTGTATTTATATATGCTTGCCATTTTAGTCATTGCTTGTAACGAAAAACTGAAAAGAAACAATTTATTAGACTAAGAGCATAACAGCATAAACGTAGAAGCATTATTACACGCAACACCTGTATATGATTGCCCAATATGCAATATATATATATATATATATATATATATATATATATATATATATATATATATATATATATACACACATATATATATAAACAGACATATATGTATGTCTGTGTGTATATGTATATGTGTGGCTGTGTGTGTGAATATGTGTATGTGCGTGTGTGGGTCTGTAAGTCACGATTCACAAGCGTGCAATATGTCAGAAATCGGAAGTTTAAATAAACGCGGCGGAAGTGCACGCTATTTCACGCATGCGCTTTGCTCTTTCCGAGCGCCTTAGCCAAAGATGGCGTCTCTTCATGCTTCTACAAGCAAAAGTAACTGTAATAGTCATGCCCCCGCGCTCTCGCAATGAAAATCGATGCCGAAGGCGACGTCCCGGACGCATGTGCTTTACTCTGCGCATCTGGTTACGCTTCGCTGGGCGGGCTGGAAGTGCAGGAAGTTTATTTATGGACAATGTGTCCGTGCCTTGAGTCTGGTGGCAAAACGAACAGCCTAGCCCGGGATAAGGGTGAGAGAATGCTCGTTTTATGGCGGCGTAGCGTTTCTCGGTGATAAATGATCGTTGACCAACGGTCATCGCCAGTCGAGAGAAGCCATTGCTTGATCTGAATCAGCGAATGTGCTGCTGGCTTTATGCGTTTCATTAATATTATATATGAATTTATAATCAACTGTTTTTCGCATTTACTTTTCAAAAATGTCGATAGAAAACCTTATTCTGTTGTTGTTAAATTTTCCACTTTTTATTAAATATTAGAGTAATGGATAGTGACTCGGATTGAGGAATCGGCGAACCGAGTTCGAATTCCAGATGAATCCATTAAATACACTTACGTGCCAATAACCTTGGGAAAGTAATGAATCCTCTTCTTCTCTCCACCCTCAGCTATGGGTAAATAACAGATGCCAAATGGTCTACCGCAGAAAGAAATGTCAACCTACTGCGGGAAAAAAAATCTGCCTCGTCTCTCATGTATCATATATCTAAAGTCTGGCGACCGGCTGATCGGTTAAACTCTCTTCCTACGGACGGGAGGAACCCGAAAGAGGCTACGCCGAAGGGCGGAGTCTCTTTCGGGGAGATAGACCGGCCCTGAACCCGTTTATACGGGTTCAATGGGCATATTTTTGGCCGAGCCCACGGGCTCGGAATGCCCACGTTAAAAAGGCCTTGTGCGACATGACACCATCGTGGGGCGTGACTGAATATCGTCAGTCATGTATCGAAAGATACATGATCGCCTAAGCGTGTATCACGCATGGCACATAACTGACTGAAATTCACTTACCTGCTGATGCCCTTGTGAAAGGTATGAATCCTCCTCTTCTCTTCCCAGCTACGGATAAACTGAAGGACAGACTGGGTTCTGTAGCCTTGGATGGCAACTAGTCTACCGCAGAAAGAAATGGCATCCTACTGCGTGAAAAAAAAAAAAAAAAAAACTCTGCCTCGTCAGGCATCTATCGAAAGATATATGATGGCTTAAGCGTGTATCACTCATGGAACATAATTGACTGAAATTCACTTACGTGCTAATATTTTGCGAAATGTATGAATCCTCTTCTCCACACCCAGGTATGGGTAAATAGCAAGACAGATGGGGGGATTGCAACTGGTCTACCGCAGAAAAAATAGCAATCTACTGTGTGAAAAAACCAGCCTCGTCAGTCATGTATCGAAAGATAAAATATCACCTAAGCGTTTATAAACGCATGGCACATAATTGACTGCCCCCACCCCAGCTATGGGAAAATAGCAGGACAGACCGGATTCTATAGCCTTGGATGGCAACTGATCTACCCCAGAAAGAAATGGCAACCTTATGCGGGAAAAAATCTGTCTCGTCTGTCATGTATCGAAAGATACATGATCGCCTAAGCGTGTATCCTGCATGGCACATAACTGACTGAATAATTATTTACAAAAATGTATTGCTGGCAATATTTTTTCCTAAAAAATGTATTACTGATAATAATGTATTGTTGGTAATAATTTTTCCTCAAAAATATCTTTTCTGGTATTAAAACCTATTTTTACATTTTCATAGTATTTTAACCCCAGTTTTGGGGGTTAACTATATGCCCATATCTGGCACCCTAACAGCATAACGAATTCGCATACACAAACACGCGCGTATACAATGTTTGTTTTTTGGGTTGTTTTTTTTTTTTTAAGTAATTAGGCTTTTTAGGAAGTCAAAGTTGTAATCATCTTTTTTTTTTTTTTTTTTCATTGACTGAAACGAAATAGAAAGGTCATTTTTCAATTCCACATCCAAAGAAAGTTGATTTTTATCCCGAAAATATTTTCAATTACTTAGCTTCTGTATGTCTGGGCTATGTAAGCACTACGATTTTTTTTTCTTTCGCGGGGTGATCAAAGAGTAGTACCTGTTCGTCACTTCTATGCCGTGGTTCTGACTTCGGTCAGTTTAGCGAAAGGTTTTGAAGGATGTCTAGTTCCAAAGATTCCTAACCTTCGATAGCACATCGATTATTGCACTAAAAATGGAACACTGGAGAAATGCCGAAGTCACTCTGAAAATATTTGTTCTGTGCTCGTGTTTACACCCATGGAAACCCCACCTTAAATGCAAGATGTGTCCTATCTCATCACTATAGGCGAGTCTAGTAAATAAAATTTAATTTTTTATCGAGTTGGGATCAAAGTGTAGTATCTGCTTTTAAGCTCTCTGCCATGTCTCTGTCGATAGAATATTTCGCAGAAATCTCTTTGAGGAATGACTGGTTTGGGCGATTCTAACTGGCGAATGAATATGTCTATATAAAACACTAGAAGACAGATATATTGAACTGATGTAGATAGATAGATAGATAGATAGATAGATAGATAGATAGATAGATATGCAGCTACTGAAAGTTATAAAATACAGTGGAAAATAAATACTGATTATAGGTAAATAAGCATAGATGTAATGTACAGATTTGAGAGAGAGAAAGAGAGAGAGAGAGAGAATCAGAGAGAGAGCGAGAGAAAATCAGACAGAGAGACAAACAGTGAGGGAGAGGGGAGAATGTCAGTGAGAGGCAAATGCTGGGCGAGATAGACAGATATATATAGAGAGAGATACAGATGGATCGATTGGTAGGTACATATAGATAGAAAACAAAAAGTATGGGAGATAAACAGATAGAGGGAGAGAGAGAGTAAGAGAGAGATTAAAGGGAGAGAAAGTCAGAGAGGCAAACAGATAGATAGATAGATAGATAGATAGATAGATAGATAGATAGATAGATAGATAGATAGAGTAGGAGGTAGGTTTATATAGAGAGACATAATGTCAGAGAAACAAACAGCTGTAGAGTAAGAGAGGGGGGAAGTCAAACGTGACCACACAAAGAAACACATACACACACATACACACACAGACATATATATATATATATACAGAGAGAGAGAGAGAGAGAGAGAGAGAGAGAGAGAGAGAGAGAGAGAGAGAGAAACTGTGGCACACACACAGATAGATAGATAGATAGATAGATAGATAGATAGATAGATAGATAGATAGATAGATAGAAAATATGATCAGGCTGATAAAGATAACTAAATAGAAAGAGATATCTATCTCTCTCTCTAAATACAGATCTTTATATATACTCATATGTGTGTATGCGTATATATATAGAGATAGATAGATAGATAGATAGATAGATAGATAGATAGATAGATAGATAGATAGAAAATATGATCAGGCTGATAAAGATAGCTAAATAGAAAGAGATATCTATCTCTCTCTCTAAATACAGATCTTTATATATACTCATATGTGTGTATGCGTATATATATAGAGATAGATAGATAGATAGATAGATAGATAGATAGATAGATAGATAGATAGATATAATATGATCAGGCTGATAAAGATAGCTAAATAGAAAGAGATATCTATCTCTCTCTAAATACAGATCTTTATATATACCATATGTGTATGCGTATATATATAGAGATAGATAGATAGATAGATAGATAGATAGATAGATAGATAGATAGATAGATAGATAGATAGATAGATAGATAGAAAATATGATCAGGCTGATAAAGATAGCTAAATAGAAAGAGATATCTATCTCTCTCTCTAAATACAGATCTTTATATATACTCATATGTGTGTATGCGTATATATATAGAGATAGATAGATAGATAGATAGATAGATAGAGAGAAAATATGATCAGGCTGATAAAGATAGCTAAATAGAAAGAGATATCTATCTCTCTCTCTAAATACAGATCTTTATATATACCATATGTGTATGCGCGTATATAGATAGATAGATAGATAGATAGATAGATAGATAGATGAATAGATAGAAAATATGATCAGGCTGATAAAGATAGCTAAATAGAAGAGATATCTATCTCTCTCTAAATACAGATCTTTATATATACTCATATGTGTGTATGCGTATATATATAGAGATAGATAGATAGATAGATAGATAGAAGAAAGATATATGATCAGGCTGATAAAGATAGCTAAATAGAAGAGATATTCATCTCTCTCTAAATACAGATCTTTATATATACTCATATGTGTGTATGCGTATATATATAGAGACAGATAGATAGATAGATAGATAGATAGATAGATAGATAGATATGCACCGAGTGAAATGTATAACAACAGACGGTGTTAAATAAATAGAGATTATAGATATATTAGCATAGATATAATGTCCACAGTTGAGAGGGAGAGACATTGAGTGAGAGTGAGAGAGACTGAGACAGAGACAGAATGCGATGAGAAAAACAAAAAAATGTCTCCCCTAAGCACATTCGGTCATCGAGACACCATATTTATTGCAACCATATCAGCTGTAGTGCGTATGATTTTGAATTCAAAGCATGGTTTCAGTCTGCATTGGCATTTAACCCATAGCTGAGGGGGGGGGAAATGTATTCATGCCTTATTACTCAGGGGAAGAAAGTGAACGAAATATAATCAACCTGGAAGTGTGTGTGTGTGTAGAGAGAGAGAGAGAGAGAAAGAGAGAGAGAAAGATAATGAACAGACATAGATAGATAGATAGATAGATAGATAGATAGATAGATAGATAGATATTGAGCAGACTGGGATAGATAGATAGATAGATAGATAGATAGATAGATAGATAGATATATCCATATATATATATATATATATATATATATATATATATATATATATATATATATATATATAATGTCATCCACAGACAGACTGTTTCGCTGTTTACAGCTCATCAGTGCGGCTAGACATCCGGTTGACTTAACTACCAAAACCGTCGGCGCACGGTAGGAATGGAGGTAGATTTTTAGCGTATTTATTTTTGTAAACATGCCCAGTGACTGACAGTGACTCAATTCGCTTACGCGAAGAGTCTCTATATATATATATATATATATATATATATATATATATATATATATATATATATATATATATATATATAGTTGGCTATATATATATATATATATATATATATATATATGTTGGCTAATAAGTGTGATCGTTATTCCATTAATTAATTTTAGCAATGAACAGATGATGCATATAAATTTCACATATTTTATGGTTCGTGGTTCACTCAATCAATTTATCAACATATTCTCCACACTCGGTCTAAGCAGTTCGCAATTTTCCTACAAAGATTACCGAGTTTATTAAATTTACGTTTCAATATTTAAGTCGACAGCCAAATCTAGCATTAGATTCTGTACTTTTTCATTTTCCATTCCGGACACTTTATTAAATGAATATATTACATCTATTGATTTTAGGCTTCCCAGGTATGAAATGAGGGAACGCTTCTTGCAAACAGGCGACAGAAATCATTTACCAAATGTCCACGTCACTTATTTTGAAATGTATGTCGATGCGCAGCCGTTTCCAGAACCGATTTTATTGTGCGCAGATTCAAACAGAACTTTACTGACGTCAACCGTTTAAAATAAAAATCATCATCAACATACTCATCATCATCATCATCATCATATTCTGAGAAGCCGAGCACCAAAGCCAGTGTCTGGGTTTAAACCTGAAGAAGTTTAGTTTATGTGGAATGTGCCTCCTTTGGCAAGTAAAAATGTTGAAATCAAACAGACACACACACATACATATATATATATATATATATATATATATATATATATATATATATATATATATATATATATATATATATATAGTAAAGTCTGAGGATCCGCAGTCCTTTAAAAGGGCTGTGGTGAAATAACTTATTACATGGAACCTTAAAGTGGTCTGTTTTTATTTAAATTATTTGCTCTGGATTTACATTGAGCTCTCCGGATTTTATCCTCCTTGTATTTACCCATACGGATTACTAAGTTTTTCATAAACTATATATATATATATATATATATATATATATATATATGTTAAATATCTGGGAATTATTTTAGAAGGAGACGGGGAGATGATTCGAAGCAGAAATTTACTTTAGAATTCAGAGTTGTCCCGTTCTTAAACCATTAAGTCTATGAAGGCTAAATAGCCTAGTTTGCCCTATTATTTCCAACGTTTAGAATTCAGAGTTGTCCTCCTATTAAATTACTTACTCTATCAAGGCTATATATCCAAGTTTGCCTTATTTTCAACGTTTAGAATTCGGAGTTGTCCTCCTCTTAAACCAGGTACTCTATCAAGTCTAAGTAGCCTAGTTTGCCCAAATATTTCCAATGTTTAGAATTCGGAGTTGTCCTCCTATTAAACCACTACTCTATCAAGGCTAAATAGTCCAGTCTGCTCTTTTATTTACAACTTTTAGAATTCGGAGTTGTCCTCCTTATAAGCCAATTGCTCAAACAAGGCTAAATAGTCCGGTTTGCCCTATCATTTACAATGTTTAGAATACAGAGTTGTCCAATTATTATTCCAGTTACTCTATCAAGGCTAAATACATGTCAAACGTTTAAAATAGATCATCATCATCGCCATCATTTCATTTAATGAAATATTCATCATTGGGTTTAAAGCTGGCGAGGTGTTAGTTCCCAGGCCAACACACACCCTGGGATCTGGGGAACCGTTGCTGCAAATCGACTTTCCCGGCGTAGAACCGAGTCCACCCTTCAATGTAAAGAGGATCTGCTATATGCTGTCATGATGGCCGGACTCACCGAGCCACGTCCACCGCACACACTCTTCTGTGACACCTGCTCACGTCTCTTCACAGCCATCTCCGCTACCGCTACCAGAATGGTGGAAGGGAATAAGGAGAGAAGATGCCCATTCCAATTCTTGGATGCGAGGCGTGCCAACAACGACATCTTCGACGAATCGTTCTGACAGTGCCGTTCCGTCTTGAGACGGAGGTCAAAATCAAACAAGAAACACGGATTATTTTTTTTAATATCTGGCAAATGTTTTAGCAAAGTACAGAAATATGAAAGCGAATTGGAACAGCAAATGCTGTTTCACAAAAATGCTAAACAATGTATTAAGAATATCGTTAGATCCTGCTGAAATGTTTTCTAATGTCAATCATCCTATATGGCAGTGAATATTTGAGAATTTTCTCGATTAACCAGAGACATAAGAAAGAGAAACACGGTTCTTCAGAAAACTTTTGAGCATCCTATGGACAATGCCTTTTTAAAGAAAGTAGACTTGGAGATTCGGACACTCTCACATTATATACTTGAAGGCAAAACAGAAAACAGCCACTAACCTACCTGACAAGTGTGTACAGGGATTTCCCGGAGCTTAGATGAGGCACAAGTATGGGTGTTGTAACCTAGGGAATGTTACTGAATAGAATAATCACCGGAAGGATAATAATCAACGATAATACTTAGAGCAAGAACAACACATAAAAGATTCGCCAGCGGCGCGTAGAAGAAGTATTCAACTGCTAGAAGCGAGTCAAGTGAATTACACTATGAATCTTCAATTGCAGACCAACATACAATATTTACTACTGTATTTACCTGAATCGGCATATACACATTATTGTCCGTAGGTATTCTACAACAGTATATATATATATATATATATATATATATATATATATATATATAAAATAAAAATGTAATCATACAATGGATGAGTTAGTAATATTAATGTAGAGGAGAAATCGTCATTAATTAATGACGAATTCTCATCTATAAAATTTTCTTCTATTAGAAGATGTAGAATGCATGCGGATCGCCATGTGCCACAGAGTGGATTGCGTTGACCGAATCTATAAATGTCGAATAAGTGGGATACAGCAGCACTACCATCTCAGTTTGTTCATATCTGTAACCTAGGGAATGCTACTGAATAGAATAATCAAACGAGGGTTGTTAATGAACGATAATACTTAGGACAAGAACAACACATATAAGATTCGCCAGAGGCGCGTAGAAGAAGTAGTCAACTGCTAAAAGTGAGTCAGGTGAATTTCACAATGAATCTTAATTTCAGACCAACATACAGTATTTACGACCATATTTATGTGAATGTGGACATACCCATTATCGTCCGTAGGTATGCTACAACAATGGGTGAATCCATTGAGAAATGCATTCACTACACAGACAATGGAAGGGACGTTTGCGATTGTTTTGTTTTATACAAGTTATTTTTTGTCAGGAACGTAGCTAAGGGTCACAATCTCATGAAGGATTGAAATGAAGTTTATATATATAAATATATATATATATATATATATATATTGTGTGTATTTAGGAAGCATCTTTTCATTCATGCACGTTTATGCATGTTTATCGTTGCTTAGAAATCATCTATGTAAACAATGACAATCTATAATCACTGTTGTGTCCGTATATTGCTTAATATGTTGTAAATGACATCTTTGATAATGGCTTATGTAAGTCGAAAGCTTAGATTGTATTAAAAAAAATATGGATCAATATTGTGAGTTTCTTTCTTCGTTCAACGATAATGTTATTAAACTTATCAGACGTTACGAAAAAATTTACATAAAATAAATATACAACACTTGTCTATATTATTTAATGAAACGTGAATGAATATATATATATATATATATATATATATATATATATATATATTATGCCAGGCTAATTTTCCAACTTATTCAAGATGATCTTCGCGCTCTCTAACCTTCTAACTTTCTTTCTTCGAGTAACAAAGTGACTCTCAAGTTTCACGTACGGTTTTATTTTCAAGTCTTTTTTCTCTGCTCTTTGGACTCTCATGACTGAAACTTCTCTCTCAAGTGCCAAACGTCTTGCGGATTGAGTAGGAGCTTTTCTAATTGATCTATTTAGCTCTCAGTTGAAATCATGATCCCTCTTCCTGTTGTGACCTCCTGATCAAGTTTTCCTACTGTTCTCGCTTTTGTAAAACGTTCACCGTTCTCTTGAAAGTTCCTGAATTAGCTTTGAAGATAGAATGAATTTTGGTACCAGTAATGAAGGTCTGAATATTTTTTTCCGCTTACTATTGCTCAGTTGAGAAGACAGTGCGGCTGACACAATTTTAATCTGATCTATTTCTCTCAGAATAACTTAAAGGGTTTACTCAGTGATTCTTACGAGAAATGATGTCAATATGGCTAATAGCCTTATCTGAAAACCTGTGAAAAAGAAACTTAATTAGCTTAGTCGTATCTTATATAATAAATATATTGTCAGATGGGCAATTTTGCTCTTATACGAATTGGACAATTTTGGTGTTACAGCCTGGACCCTTAAGGTAAAACAGAACACACAACGGCCGAAAGTTAGTGATAACAGTGAAAGATGAAGTCAATAATGCTCTCTGGCCTTCATAAGGTGTATATCGATCTTGGTAACCTACTCTAGGATACCCAGATCGATATTCGCCTGAGGAAAGGCCGTGTGGGTACAGCAGCCGGGACGTAGTGAGAACAACAACAAAGATAAGTACAATACTCCCAATATAAATAATGTTCCTTTATTAACAAAGACAAGAATACTGAGATGTTACATGACATCTGTCCTTCTTTACGGCAGCGAATGTTGGACGATTTCCTCAAAGATGAAGAAGAGACTCGAGGCGACAGAGACGTGTTTCTACAGAAGGATGCTAAGGATATCATGGATCGAGTCTATGAGCAACGATGAGGTCTTAGAGAGGTTGCAAACAAGGAGAGAGGCATATACTTAACATCAGGAAGAGGCGGCTGAAATTTCTGGGACACATAAGGAGGAAGGAGGGCCTGGAGAATCTGATACTCACGAGTCGAATAGAGGGAAAGAGAGACAAGGGAAAACAACGTGTGACATACCTGCCGGGCTTAAGCAAGTGGATGACAGAACATCGTCTGGGGGGAGAAAGCAGAGGGAAGGTACTTGTTGAGAGATGCAAGGGATAGAGTGAGATGGAGAGCCGTGATCGCCTACGTCCTGAACGGACATGGCACATAAAAAGATCGAAAAGAATGATAATATTTATTGAAAATAATATCTAGAGAATTTTCATTTGTCATTCGTTTTTAGTTATGCGATTGAAGAATATGTTTTTTCAAGGTTTATCAATATTTTGGTAGTTATTAAAATCCTAAACATGGTTTGGATTTTAAGAATAATCCTGTTTTATCGAAGACATAATGCATTAATATTTTTTTCAAGTATAATTATTTTTCCAAATATAAGTTCTACAGTTTAACCCACAGATGAGAAAGGAGATAATTTCGTACGTATCCCGAAGTTATCTACTGGTAAATCATTGTGACTAATTTATGACAACAAAATATATCCCCCAGCAAGTTTGGCGGTTTTGAGGTGCGTGGAATCACCTCTTAATTGATACTGCTCCCAGATCCGCTCTGGCCCGGGTCGGTAGCACCTGTTAGTATCCCAGCTGTGGACAAATAATGAATAATACATAGAAGCTGATATGCCGCAAAGCGAAATCAGCCAAGCAAACATGAAAGATCTCTTTCAGGGCATTAATCCATACAATATCCTACAATTTCTTAAAGGAATTAAACGTATTCCAAAATATAACTTCAACAAAACTACCACATAAAAACCGCCTCTAGTAATTATGTCCACACAAACATGTATATGCACACAAGCTGTGTATTATCTACCATGCAATCAACTGTGAAAGCTGAATAACCTATCTCATATTTTTATTACTTCAAAGCTTCCAAGAAAAAACAAATTAAGTGACCTATAATGATTTGATATGTCATTAAACAATCAAATCAAATCAAATCCAAGCACACAAGAAAATTAAATTTCGGCATTAAATGACCCATAATGATTTGATATGTCATTAAACAATCAAATCAAATCCAAGCACACAAGAAAATTAAATTTCGGCATTAAATGACCCATAAAGTGTTGATATGTCGTTAAACAAACAAAAACTAATCACTGCAACGAACACACCTGTACATCAATAATGTTCGGTTCCGGTTTAAACAAGCATTCCCTGAGGAGATAGGTTAATTACAGGTAAATATATGTGAAACATAAGTTATTTACGTTTCCTAAATAAACATTAGAGAGGAAAATTGTTTGTAACATGGCTTACTTTCTCGTCTCTCTTTCTCTGCAAGAGAGAGATTTGGTTTCTATTTTTTTTTACCTGCCTTTTGTCGACTTTTCCTTTGATATAATTGGTCCTGAGTTGCAGTGATAAGAGATTTTTTATTTTTTTTATTTTGAGTTGTCTTTTGTGTAAACACTTTCAGAGCTGTTTATCTTCGACAGATTTTATCTGCCTTTTAAATCATACATGGAGTTTTTTTTTTCTTTCGTCTTCTGGTGTTGTTATTAACCGGTCTCATGTTTTCAGTCCTTTTATCACTTTTTATAATGTTATGGACGGTTCTCTGAATCGTTGCTTGCATCACGTAAATTCTATCTTAGCGGAGTCTTAGATGTTTATACGTCTTTGTTCTTCATTTCTTTTCGCATCAGCTTAGATAGTCATTATTATTATTATTATTATTATTACAACACTTACAGAAAGACGCGATTGAACAAAAGAGAAAACAATAGACACAGTACTTATCAATATTCAGTAAAATTTCAACAGTATGTCATTCTTTTTTAAGCTATTCTTAAAAATATATATAATTTTTAAAATATATCAAAAAATATATGTACAAACCTCACTTATGAGAAAAACGGCATCAGAAAATGCGACAAATGAACTGAAAAGCAGTCAGTGTGAATGGAAGGCAACTTTAGTGTGAGTAACTTGATGGGGAGCGTAATCATCTTACAATTATTTTTTATTATATTTCTTTCATTTCTTACAGAATGGGCACATGCTTTACGCTTTGTCACTACCTAACATACACAACTAGCTATTCCTGTTTGATTTCGTGTATAGATCTTTAATATCTTACTGTTCCCTGGTCACAACAATAATGACATTCTCCTCCACCTTGCCACGCAGCTTGGACTTGTCCGAAAAAAATCGATGGCATAATAACTTCAGGCGTGTATTAGTAATCATTATATAATAAATCTGCTCGTTCGTACCTTCCTTAGATGACGCGTACGTCTCGCCCTGCCATCATCTTAGGTAAACAATCGCCCAAATGTGTTTTGCTTTGTTTGCGAGGCTATACAGAAGAATATATATATATATATATATATATATATATATATATATATATATATATATATATATATATATATACACATACAGTGTGTCCATAAAGTTCAAAAGCACTTTAAAAAATTTATAACTTTATTTGTATTTGCGATAGAAATAATTCGTAAAAAAAAGAATTAGAAAAGAAGTAAATCTATATTTTTTAAGGTTTTATTGAAATTTTATTTAAGTTTCCACATGTCCTCCATCAGTAGCAATACAAAGGGTAATAAGATTTTGCAGTTCACGGAAAAAATTTGCCAACAGATTTACAGTAATGCCTGAAATCACATTAGTTATTTTGGCTATACTTAAAACTAGGTACATTAAACTTCATAACGTTTTTTACAGATTATTTCTATCCCAAATACAAATATAATTATAAATTTTTTAAAGTGCACATGAACTTTATGGACACCTTGTATATGAAAAATGAGGTTTAGTTTTACGGAAAGGATAGTTAAAGTAAGAAAGAGATTAATATCTCCGCGCTCGTTAAATGGGAGGGGGACTTGTCCATCTTTAAACTTTTCATTTGTATCCTCTTACTTCTTGAAATAATAACCTTATGTTTTTGACAGACAGCAATATTATGGTTAATGTTAAGTTCAAATATTGCACGCGATAATAGGAGAATTACAGCCGCTATTTTATAGAACTCACAAGGATCTTATTTAGTTATTAATTTCAGAATTATGATTCATTAGAAAATTCAAAGAGTAAACTTTTCACGGGCACTGATAGTTATTATTAAGCTTACTATTAGGAGCAGTGTTATTAGTAGCAGCAGTACCCTATTAGCAAACTAAAAAAATGTCATTAAAATCGTTACCTTTGAAATAAAGTTCTAAACATATTAATAATGGCTATAAAATTCGCGTTGGGGAGAAATATTGACTGAATAATATTAAACAATCATCGTTTCTAAAAATAAAAAAAATCTCGCCCATTTTCAACGACCCTTTGATTTTTTTAAACTTTCCCCACGAGTAATGGCTGCTTCTTCTTCGCTCTCAAATCTATCATTTTCCTTTCGTTCATCTTATTAGCATATATCTCTCTTTCCTCGATCTTTTTTTTTTCCTTTTCTTTAATTTTGCTTTATATTTCCTCTTTCGTTTTTAATATTTTCTTTCTTTTTTCTTATCTTCTTTCATTGTCTCTGCTTTTATATTTCTTATGTCTTTCTTTCTTTGTTATTAGATCTTTTTTTTCTTTTTGTAATTTTTCCAATATAATATTTTTCTTTCGTAAATTTCATTAGTTTTTCTTCATTTTTTGTTTGTTTGTTTGTTTGTTTCTTTCTTTCTTTCTTTCTTTCTAATAATTACTTTCTTTTATTTCTCCTTTCGTTTCCATTTCATTCTTTCTCATATTCATTCATTCCGTCTACCATTGCTTTATTTTCTCTCTCGTTCTTCTGACATCATTTTCATTTTACTAATTTTATCTTTTCTTTCTTTATTTCTGTACTGTTTTACCTCGATTTCCTTTGTCGCTTCTTTCATTCATTCATTTATATTTACATTTGGTCATTCATCTTCACCTTCATTTTTTCTTGTAACTCTCTCTCTCTCCCTCTTTCTTTACTCACCTTCTGGTTTCTTTTTAATCTCTTTTTCATTTCATTTCTTTCTTTCTTTCTTTCTTTCTTTCTTTCTTTCTTTCTTTCTTTCTTTCTTTGCGTTTTATATCCTTTTTTCCTTCCTTCCTTCCTTCCTTCTTTTCTTCCTTCCTTCATTCCTTCCTTCCTTCCTTCCTTCCTTCCTTCCTTCTCTTCATCTAGTTTTTATTTCCTGTTTCGCTTCCATTTTTCACCCTTTTCTTTATTTCTCTATAACTTTCTTTCTTTCTTTTTTTCTTTTTCTTTCTTTCTTTCTTTTTTCTTTCTTTCTTTCTTTCTTTATCTATTTATTTCTCCCCTGTCCTTGTTTTCGTCTTCCCTTTTTCTTCTTTCCCTCCTTCGTTTTTCATTTATCTCATGTTTCACTGCCATTTTTCACCTCTTTCTTTCTTTCTTTCTTTCTTTCTTTCTTTCTTTCTTTCACTGCTTTTTTCTCTCAACCGTCTTCATTTTCTTTCCTTCTTTCTCTCTCACTTTAGCAGTCTTTCTTTATTTAATGTTTCTTTTAATCTCTATCTTAATTGTACACTCTTTCTTTCTTTCTTTCTTTCTTTCTTTCATTCTTTCTTTCTTTCTTTCTTTCTTTCTTTCACTAATTCTTTTTATACTCTTTCCTGTCTCTCAATGTTCCTAATTTTCTTTCCTCCTTGCCCTTCTCCCTTTAGCAATCTTTCTCTTATTAATATTTCTTTTACCCTCTTTCTTAATTGTACATTCTTTCTTTTTTCTTTCTTTCTTTCTTTTTTTCACTCTTTCTTCTTTCCCCACTATCTTTATTTTCTTTCCCCCTTTCTCTTCTCAATTTAACATCCTTTCTCTATTTAATCTTTCTTTTACTCTCTTTTTTTTTCTGATTGTACTCTTTTTCTTTCAGTCTTTCTTTCTCCCTTCCTTCTCAGTCGATATTTACCTCTTTTCTTTTGTCATTTCTTTCCCACATCCCTCTCTTTATTCATCCATTCCCATATTACCTCTCTCTCTCTCTCTCTCCCAATCTCCTTTTCCGCCGCCCCGACACTTTTCAAATCTCTCTCTTTCTTTCTTTCATGTAACATCTTTTTTGTCTTTCCCTATTCCCGCTTCTAGCACTAATCATTCCTTTTATGAAAATTCATTTATTCACCCACTCACGACTCTTTGTCTTTTCATTCTTCCTTTGCCAGCACTTAATTAACCACTGTTGTTAAACATTTAATTGGCTGTTCAGAAATGCGAACATTACATTGACTCTTCCATTGGAGAAAGATAAAATGAATTCGAGCTGGTAAATGGGTAGTGGGTTGAGGAAAAACGAAAGAAGATTAAAGGTGGGGGGATGTTTATGTCAAGGCCATATCTGTACTTTCATGTGTTTTATGATACAAACAACAAAATCGATTATTTAAAAATCGATTAGGGCAGATTAAATTTTTGTCTTCGATTTATGACGACCATTGAACAAACACTAACTCATGGAAATCTACGGTCAGCCGGTGAGGTTGGTGGGGTCGTTATCAGCCTCCTGTCAACAAGGGCTAACTGGGTTCCATAACCTTATTTGCAAGATGTGATGTAATTTGCCATTTTTGTGGGATCATATCTCGTCGTAACTTTGTAGCTTTTAGCAATATCTGCCTTTTTGCTGAAACTCCCACTCTAAAAGTAGGGCTTTTTACTACACACCTACTCCAAAAATATATCTTTTTATTACCCACCCACTCCAAAAAACTGACTTTTTATTAAGTTACCACTCCCAAAATATATCTTTTTACTACACTCCATGACATCCTAATGGTTTGGTAAATTTATCTATGGAAGAGATTATTGTAATAAAATTATAAGACAAAGACAACACACACACACACACACACACACACACACATATATATATATATATATATATATATATATATATATATATATACTCACACAGGTAAAATTCCGTGTGTAAATAATGCAAGTGAATCCTAATAAAATAAAATATTAAAACTGATATACAAAAGACAGCTCATTTTTTTTTATAGAGCATATAAATTAAATACATAAAAATGAAACTCAAATGTTCGAGGAGCGAAATGGCCATATAAATGGGGTACAATTGAATTTCTTGTGTATGTAATTCATATATATATATATATATATATATATATTAATTGATTTAAAATATGTTTTTTCTACACAGTTCTAACCATGTTTCAAAAATGGAAGCTAAAAGCCCCGAATTTAATTTTGTAATTAAATTAAAGACATAAGTACCATTTCATCCTCAAGCGACTTCTGGAGTAACTTTTAAAATTACTGGGTTTTAAATACACAGCCAAAACAAAATCCATGTTTCCAAGGTTACAGATAAATCTATTTTGCTATACAGGGGTGTCTGGGTGTTCAATATGTCTATATTTTAATGTATCCGTTTATTTAAAACCCAGTAATTTTAAAAGTATTCCAAAATTCGCTTGAGGATGAAATGCAACTAATGTCTTTAATTTAATTACAAAATTAATTTCGGGGTTTTTAGCTTCCATTTTTGAAACATGGTTCGACTGTGTAGCCAAAAACATATTTTAAATCAATTCATTTATAATATTAATGCTCTGTAAATTTACATCGAGCACTATTTTGTAAAAATAAAAATATCTATGAGAACACCGGATTATATATCTTACTGTTCTTTCTTTCTATATATATATATATATATATATATATATATATATACTAGCCACTAATCTCAATGCCAGTAATATCGAATATTTTAAGCATATTAATATTTTATTGAATCTTAGGTATTTTCGTTTTACTTACGAAGATGCTTGTTGAGGTAATGGTATAAAATTATCGATACATTTTAAATTTATTATAGTTAGCACACTTATTTGCCGATAATGATGTGTATGAACGTCTGTATTTTAAATAAGTAAAATAATTCTTGGAAAGTTTCATTATTCATCGACAAAATATTTTTTGTATGATATTACTGCCCATAATATATTATATTCATTAAAGCAACGATAAATATTTCCAGTTAAATATTTTTTTTTATTTTAAGAAACATATCAGATTTTCTGTAACTGGGTGTTTTATTTGACTAAAACAAATTTGAGAACCTGAATTCTTCAAGGATTTGTCCTAGTGGCTAATATAAACATTAAACACTGCAAAAAAAGAATTCTTGAAATTTCATAAAATTGAATCGTTCGAGCGTAACAAAAGTAAAAAAAAAAATTGTATAAAAAGAAACACTTCAAAAATAATTTTCTTTATTTCCGAATAAATCCTGAAATTTAGGCGTAGATAGTTGCAATAAATTTACATGCTGAATACAATGTAAACGCTTATTTTACATAATTTTTTAACTACACAGTAATCATAAAAATTAAAAGAAAATACAGTCTTATATTTTATTGAATTTTAGTTAATTTGAAATTATATTCTTACTTATGTAGGCGCTTGTTTTTAGATTTACTCTAGTTAACGCCCTTATATTCTGATAATGTTTTTTATATGTTCTTTTTATGTGTCATGTCTTTTCATGACGTAGGCGATCATGGCTCTCCACTTCTCCATATACCTTGTGGCGCTCAACAAGTTCCCTTCCCTCTGCTTCCTCCCCCAGACCACGTTCTGTCATCCACTTGCTTAAGTCGGCTTGGTATGTCAAGCGTTGTTTTCCCTTACCTCTCTTTCCCTCTATTCGACCTGTGAGTATCAGATTCTTCAGGCCCTGCTTCCTCATTATGTGTCCCAGAAACTTCAGCTGCCTCTTGCTGATGTTAAGTATAAGCCTCCTCCTTGTTCTCTAAGAACTCATCGTTGCTCACACACTCAGTCCATTATATCCTTAGCATTTTTGTGTAGAACCACATCTCTGTCGCCTCGAGTCTCTTCTTCATCTTTGAGGAAATCGTCCAACATTCGCTGCCGTAAAGAAGGACAGATGTCACGGAACAGCTCAGCATCCTTTTCTTTGTTACCAATGGCATTCTCCTGTCTCGCAATATTCTGCCCAGCATTTGGAATGAGTCCCTGGTCATTCCAATACATCAATGGATCTCAGTGTCGCACTTATCGTCCTGATGTTCAGTACAAGATTTCTTCTTGTTTGCATCCTCTCTAAGACCTTATCGATAATCACACACTCAGTCCATTATATCCTTAGCATCCTTCTGTAGAACCACATCTCTGTCGCCTCGAGTCTCTTCTTCATCTTTAAGGAAATCGTCCAGCATTCTCTCACAGAATCTATCTGTCAATGTAAAGCTATTTTAGAGGGTGAGGGATGGACGGACGGACTAACAGAAGTCTTTCTTTCTTTTTATGTGTCATTGTCCTTTCAGGACGTAGGCGATAATGGCTCTCCACTACCCTCTATCACTTTCAACACTCAACAAATTCCTTCACTCTGCCATCCACTTGCTTAAGTCCGACAGTTATGTCACGGGTTGTTTTCACTTAACTCTCTTCCCCTCTATTCGACCAGTGGGTATCAGATTCTCCAGGCCCACCTTCCATGTGTCCCAAAAACTTCAGCTGCCTCTACCCGATATTAAGTATAAGCCTCCATTTTATCCTTAGCATTTTTCTGTAGAACCCCATCTCTGTCGCCTCAAGTCTCTTTTCATCTTTGAGGAAATCGTCCAACATTCGATGCCGTAAAGAAGGACATATGTCACCTAACGATTCGGTATTCTTTTCTTCGTTACTAAAGATATCTTTCTGTCTCGCAATACTCTGCCCAACATTTGGAATGCGTCCTTGGCCATCATAATACGTCTACGGATCTCAATGACGGACTTACCGTCCTTATTTTAAGTATAAGCCTTCTTGTTTGCATCCTCTCTAAGACCTCATCGTTGCTCACCCGATCGGCCCATGATATCCTTAGCATCCTTCTGTATATCCACATCTCCGTCGCCTCGAGTCTCTTCTTCATATTTGAAGAAATCGTCCAACATTCGCCGCAGCAAAGAATGACATATGTCACCGGACAGTTTAGTAACCTTTTCTTTGTTACCAAAGTAATCCTCCTGTCTCGCTATATTCTGCCCAGCTTTTGGAATGCGTCCTTGGACATTCCAATACGTCTACGGATATCTGTGTCGCATTCACCATTCTCTGTCAAGACGCTTCCCAGATACAGTGTAACCCGGATATAAGAGACCCGGATATAAGAGAAACCCGGATATAAGAGATATTGTCTCTGGTCCCAAATTAGAGCCTTTGTTAATGTATATAAAATAGACCAAACACAGATATAAGAGAAACCCGGATATAAGAGACTTCTTCTCCGGTTCCGACAACTCTCTTATATCCGGGTTACACTGCATAACAAGTACAGTGTAACCCGGATATAAGAGACCCGGATATAAGAGAAACCCGGATATAAGAGAGATTTTCTCTGGTCCCAAATTAGAGCCTTTGTTAATGCATATAAAATAGACCAAACCCGGATATAAGAGAAACCCGGATATAAGAGACTTCTTCTCCGGTCCCGACAACTCTCTTGTATCCGGGTTACACTGTATTTAAACTTCCCCGTCTGCTTGCTTCTAATGTTGCCGACCTTCAAATCTCATTTCGGGCTCATGCACTTACTGACGACCATAAACAACGTCTTCTAGTTTATGCTTAGTTCCTTCTTCTCACCTTCCGTCGCTACATTCTGTAGATTTTGTTTATAGGTGTTCGTATTCACAAAAATCGGCACGTTTATACGTACAGAAAAAAAATGTTAAAATTCGATTTTTAAAATAGTGGGGGACGAAACTGAATTTTTTTAAGATTTAAACTTTCTAAATTAATATGATTAAAATGAAAGTGAAATGAAAACAGGTCTATAAAAAATTAAGTATTCATCGCAAAATGTTTTTTCCCGACAACAGTGGTGCCCATAATATATTTAAGTAATTAACGGCTTTTCTAATTACATAATATTTTAGCTTTATAGCATTTTTATTTCATGAATCAGAGCAAATTTTTTGCAACAAGATTTGATGATTTACCGAATTTTCCCATGTATAATACGCATTTTTTTCTAAAAAATAATTAGCAAAATCGGCGGGGGTGGGGGGCGTTATGCATAGCTACAAAAAACTTTAAAAATTGCTGTGAAATAAAATAAGAATTATCGTAAAACTAAATTAGAACAATATTAGTTGAAAACCCTTTTTTTTAAATAAGAATATGAAACGCTGTCCGTAATAAATTTGGAGAGGTATAATTAAAAGCTTTTCTTTAAAAAAAAACAAGGGGTGCGTATTATGCATGAATAGAAGCATTTTCCCAAATTTTCAGCACAATTTTTGGTGTGCGTATTATGGATGAATCCGTATTATACATGGGAAATTATGGTAAATTCTCTGAGTATTTTCCTTATAATTAATATAAAAATTAAGAGTTATATAACAATTTCTCGAAATTTTATAAAAGTAAATTCGTGGGTTGGAGCAAGATGTAAAAAAAAAATATTTTTACCAAAATTTTCTGAAGAAGAAACATTTAAAAAATAATTTTATTCATGCGTAAATAAGTCCTGTAAGTGTCATTAAAATCCGACATTTGTCTGATTTTTGCAAGAATTTTCAAATCAACGTTGTTTCCCAACGCAAAAAGATGTTCAAATTTCCTGTGGTATAATGTAAAATATGCCAGAAATATAATAAAAATACTAACACACATTTCTAAAAAGAATCAAAAGACATTTTTACATCAAAAAATCTTTTAGTCTTTCCATTTAATAATAACGAATTTGACGATTAAACTTTATTTTAATTTAGCTTGGAGCATTAGTGAATCAAACAATTTTTAATGATTAAAAATTATGTAGGTAAATTATGTAGGAAAATTTATCTAGGTACCTCTAAGTACCTAGATAAATTTTTAAATGAATCGAGGCTATATTATAAGAAAAATAGTTGTTAGTTTACTATTTTACGTAACATTATTAAATAAATTTAAATATTTAAATAAAATTTTAAAGCATTGAAATGTATAACTGGATAAAAAAATACTTTTATAATCACAACAATAAACTTAGCCGGTTATTCTAAATGTAAACTGCTCAACAAGAAAATTCAGCGTAGGGTAGGCATAACTGTATCCGGGTGTTAAAAAGTGGTTTCCATGGGTTAAATCCTTTTAAAAAGCAGTAAAAAATAACTTATGTTGTGACCTAAAGGTCGCCAGACATTCAATATATAATCGTACAAAATAAACCAGAATCAGCAGTAAAAGAAACTTGCCAATTGTGTAAATACCAATTTCACTTCTAAATCTATCCGACACTGTGAGGAAAGCTTTAAGTCTTTTGAATAGGAATTTTTTTGATATTGGTCGCACGGGCAATAAAAAAAATTAACGCTTCATGAGAAAATATGTCGAGTCCAATAATACGGCTTTATACGGTTGGAAGCCAGGCGGCCAGAATTCTGCTTTTTCTCTGAATATCTTTGACCTCCCAGTCTTTTGTTTTTTCTTTCATGTTTCCAGCTCAAAAGAAATAGAACAGGAAAGCAATTAATTCATTGCTTTTGTCTTTTTTGGCTCGCGAAGGAAACAGGAGCTTACTCGACGTACACTTCTTAAATGGTATCGCTTATCATAATTACGTACACTTCTTAAAGACTATCGCTTATTTTATGTTATTTAAAAATTATTTATCCTAGAAAAAACTAATGCATGAGTTGCATATATAGATCAACCCATCAACTCTAGTATATATATATATATATATATATATATATATATATATATATATATATATATATAAATGATATGATGATGATGAGGGACAGTCCCGTCAATGTATGAGGATTCGATACTGTCATTCAGATATTTTTTGATTAATTCCACATCTTGCGCAACAAAGCGAAGACCTCGGAACATATCATGAGGAATATTTGCTGACGCTTTTCTCCGTTTTCTTTTCGTCTATCTCTACATATATATGTGTGTATATATATATATATATATATATATATATATATATATATATATATATATATATATATATATATATAAATTTCCAAGTGGATAGGATCCAGGTAGAGCTCAATGTTCATGTCAGAGCAAGAATATAGCATAAAAGGCTGAAACACTAATATTCCATGGTTATAATTTATTACATTGGAATCGTAATCGTAATCCAATCTGAATTGAATCTTGATTACAATTCCAATGTAATAAATTATAACCATGGAATGTTTGAGACTTTCATATTATACATATATATATATATATATATATATATATATATATATATATATATATATATATATATATATATTATTTATTTAAAAATTATAACATAAATATATTATAAAATCACTAAAAAATAGCCATTTTGTTTCAATAGCACTGGTGGGTTATCAAGTGATGATGTTGAACCTCATCAACATCAACATCATCACTTGATAAGACACCAGAGGTTATCAAACAGCATGGCTATATTTTTAGTGATTTTATAACATATCTATGTTATAATTTTTAAATGTCTGTGTGGGGGGAGATGAAGTGGTGACCCCGATTTTCTGTGCATATTTTTTTTTCATCTTTTTTTTGTATATTTTCTTTGGTTTTTGAGTATTACAATGTTTTCGGCTAATCCTGTAGACTTCTCCAAAGACTGCTGTTGAACAATTATCTTGAACTAAGCTAAATGTCAAATTCAGTCAGTTTTAATGACTGCAGTGCGAGAACCACCAAGACCTTTGACGCGTCACCTGCAAAGTTTATTATTATTATTATTATTATTATTATTATTATTATTATTATTATTATTATTATTGCCTTAGCGCCATCCTATTCTTATTTGTTTCTCTCTTGCTTCTGTCAGATGATGCCAACTATAAGTAGTGTGTTCGCGGATAAGTATCTTATTTTTATTTTATTTGACATTCTCGTCTGGTAATAGGAGTGTATATGCGAGAATATGCGATAATATAAGATGGCTGGTTGGTTGATTTTGGTTAGCGACATACCAACACCGATAGGGGTTATTTAATGCCGAAATCTAACAGTTTTGGACACAATCTTATGGCTTCAGCTAAATATATTTTAAACACATTTGTACACCTACAAATACAGATAAACCGTATTGTTGGAAATTTTGCTATAAAATATATTGCTGGCAATTTGATTTAAAAATGTATTGTTAGTAATTTAACTAATAATAGTTAATATAGAAAATGTATTTCCAGTATTTTTACTATAAAAATGTATTTTTATACTTTCATACTGATTGTTTATTTAGGGTTCACTATTTGCTGATAACTGGGGACCTAACAGGTTCTACCACCCAACGTTAGGGTGGACCTGGGAACAGAAGCAATTAAGAAGTAATACAAGTTGAATAATAATAATAATAATAATAATAATCGTCTCCGGTTACGAAGATAGGACCTGTTACAATTCTATGGGACTAAGCAATACACACTGATAGAACAATCAAAGCCTACCGCCCAGACATTGTTATTAGAGACCACAAATAAAATAAAAGTGCCTCCTTATTGATATGGCAGTCCCTGCAGACTGCAATGTATATTTGAAGATATTCAAAAAGCTTTCAAAATACAAGGACCTTGAAATCGAAATCTCAAAATGTGGCACATGTGAATATCACAAATCCCTGTTGTAATCAGAGCCCTAAGATTGGTTGTAAAAGCTTCCAGTAGACTCGCTAAAGGGATTTCTGGATTTCTGTACACCCGGCAAAATATGTGTATTTGTCTTTTTTTTTTAATTGGTTAGTGGAAAATGTCATGATGCCATTTGTGACCTTAGGTCTCTTACCGAGACCCGGAATGAAATGTGTACACACCAGAAATTAAATAATAATAATAATAATAGTAATAATAATAATAATAATGGTAATAATAATAACAGTAACAGCAACAACAGAAACAACATAATAAAATGGAAACTTTTAAGTGAGATAATATCTGTGGAAAGAATGAATCTAACGATAATAAATTATATCTAATAGTCTTAATATAAAAGAGAAAGTAGAAAGAGAAATTCCTTAAATAATATACATGAATACGGATCTATATGGATGAATATACAAGGCCAGAAAATGATAATAAAATTAGACACATAGAGAAATATATGATAAATATATAAGCAAGCATACAAAAATATTCAGGCCTTGTCCAGGTATTAACATTGACAAAAACGAAAAAAAAAAAAAACTCCCACTTACCAACTAAATAAAAATGAAATATATACAATGAAAATCTTGGTCATCACTTCTATAATATAGGGAGCAGAGTTGGATATCTATCTATCTATCTATCTATCTATCTATCAATCTATCTCAGCCTGTTCATACCTACTTATCTATTTCAGCCTGTTCTTTTTTATCTATCTATTTATCTATCCATAACCTTAGCCTAACTTATAAACTCAAGTACCATTTCAAATTGTCACTTCACATTCACAATACATACATACATACATACATACATAGATATAGGTGTTTCATTAAGACGGATCAAACTCAGCAGTAAATAAATCTGTGATCTTCTTCAAAATTTATTTATTTCTCTATTGCATCATATTATTTAACTCATGGCAATTATGCGTGAAAAAATATCTTCCAAATATCCGCCAAATTTGAAAGAAAAAGAAAAAAAATTATTAGGCGCTGAAACTTAATTCACATTTCAAACCGGACCAAGTTTTTGAACACCCTATATATATATATATATATATATATATATATATATATACACAAAAGAGAGAAAGAACAGGTGGAGTAAAAATCCACTGTTCGTAGCATTTACTTTTAAAACTAGCGCAATATATTATTGTTATATTTTTTATTATAAGAGATTATAAGAAAATCATTTTGAAATCCCTACACAAAAGCTTTCATGTTTCAATACTATGATTGTATATCTTCAGGTGAAATTAAGCAAATTGTGGTTTCACCATTGCCTGACAAACTACAATCATAATATTGAAACATGAAAGCTTTTGAGTAGCCATTTCAAATTTTTTTCTTATAATCTCTTATCATAAAAAATATAAAAATAATATATATACATACATAATATGTGTGTGTGTGTTTGTTGGCGTGTATTGTTAAATATAACAGACAACGAATGTCTATTTTATTTGATAATGAGCCGTTCTACGCTTGTAATAGTAGTTTTACATTACCTGTCACATTTCTGATCTTAGTTCCATTAAGCAACATTTCTTAGAAAAAGATAACCATATACATAATATTAGACAGAAATTAGTTGATAGCACAACAATACTCACACATATAAATAACCCTTAAGATATTGGAGGCCATCTACAATAAAAGAAAACAATCGACACTCAACAAAATTACATTTCAAACCCTTCACAATATATTACAATGCATCTAAACAGAAGGTTCTGTTGATAACAATTCTTTCTTTTTTTCTACTTTGATCAATTAGAATGCATAATTACTCTCCAAGCTTAACAGAAGAATCGTGATGAAATCGATCATAAACGAAAATGACATGTTCATCATTAATTAATAATAGCTAAGGATCTGAAGCTCATGAAGGAGTGAAATGAAGTTCATATATATATATATATATATATATATATATATATATATATATATATAACAGGACTATTTTCCGACTTGTCCAACATGATCTTTGCCCTCTCTAAACTTCTAACTTTCTGTCCCAGAGTAAAAATCTGACATACGATCTTATTTCCATGTCTTTTTTCACTGCTCTTTGGACTGTCATAGATGAAACTCCTCGCTCGCGTGCCAAACGTCTTATGGATTTAGTTGGATCTTTTCTAATTGATCTATTTATCTCTAATTTGAAATGACTATCCTCCTTCCTTTTGTGAATTCCTTATCCAGTATTCCTCTCTACGGCTCTCGCTTTCTTAAACTTATTTACGGTTCTCTTGATGATTCTTAAATGGACTTTGAAGATGGAACCCGGAGCATTGATACCATTACCGAAAGGCCTGAATGATGTTTTTTTCTCTCACCATTACTTATTTGGAATAATATAGTGGAGATGGCAAAAAAACAAAAAACAAAAAAAAAACGAATTTAACCTGTTCTCTTTCGAGCTGAATACCTCAAGGTGTTTTTCAGTGATTCCCATTTCAAATCGTGTCAAGATGTCTAAACGTCTTATCTGAAAGAGACTCTGTTAGTTTATAATTTTTTTTTTTGTTTTTTTTATTTAGATATTAAATATTCTGTGGGGTTGATAATTATCGCATGCTGTTACAAGATTTGGACAATTTTGCTGTTATAACCAATATTTCAAGATATTATTAGACATTAATAGTAACAAATTGTATTAAATGATCACTTATCCAATTCATAATCTGAGTTTCGTAGAGAATAGCGTCACTTATTAGTTATAGTTTACAGCTGATCCTGTTTATTGATACGACAATGGAAAAGACGGTTGTGATTGGTTTGTTTTATAGAAGTTATTTTTGTCAGGAATGTACAACGTTTCCGTAGATTGTCTGATTTTGATGCACTAATTTTTTTTGTATTTTAGTCTATGCTTTTAAATGAATCCTTTTCAATCATCCCATTAATGTTCAAAGAAACTGTTATCATTTCATCCTGCTGAAGATTAGTATAGCCTCTTTATATACAAAAAATGAGAAAAAATCATTTGAGACTACTTCTAGACTTAATGTTTGTGTAAAATTTTCACATTTTAATTATGCGAAAAGCAAACAGCCTATGCCAGAAATATTTCTTAATATTGATGGTCGATTACCTATAATTTGTTTCCTGAAGAATCAAAAAATTCGTCCTTAAAAAGATGTGCATACTATGAATGATAGATAATAAGAGGAAAGGAAGAAGTGTGTAATTCGTAGGATAGACAACAAAGGGAGATGAAGAAGTGTGTAATTCGTAGGATAGACAACAAGGAGAGATGAAGAAGTGTGTAATTCGTAGGATAGACAACAAGGAGAGATGAAGAAGTGTGTAATTCGTAGGATAGACAACAAGGAGAGATGAAGAAGTGTGTAATTCGTAGGATAGACAACAAAGGGAGATGAAGAAGTGTGTAATTCGTAGGATAGACAACAAGGAGAGATGAAGAAGTGTGTAATTCGTAGGATAGACAACAAAGGGAGATGAAGAAGTGTGTAATTCGTAGGATAGACAACAAAGGGAGATGAAGAAGTGTGTAATTCGTAGGATAGACAACAAGGAGAGATGAAGAAGTGTGTAATTCGTAGGATAGACAACAAAGGAAGATGAAGAAGTGTGTAATTGTAGGATAGACAACAAGGAGAGATGAAGAAGTGTGTAATTCGTAGGATAGACAACAAGGAGAGATGAAGAAGTGTGTAATTCGTAGGATAGACAACAAAGGAGATGAAGAAGTGTGTAATTCGTAGGATAGACAACAAGGAGAGATGAAGAAGTGTGTAATTCGTAGGATAGACAACAAAGGAGATGAAGAAGTGTGTAATTGTAGGATAGACAACAAAAGGAGATGAAGAAGTGTGTAATTCGTAGGATAGACAACAAAGGAGATGAAGAAGTGTGTAATTCGTAGGATAGACAACAAGGAGAGATGAAGAAGTGTGTAATTCGTAGGATAGACAACAAAGGGAGATGAAGAAGTGTGTAATTCGTAGGATAGACAACAAAGGGAGAAGAAGTGTGTAATTCGTAGGATAGACAACAAGGAGAGATGAAGAAGTGTGTAATTCGTAGGATAGACAACAAAGGAGATGAAGAAGTGTGTAATTCGTAGGATAGACAACAAGGAGAGATGAAGAAGTGTGTAATTCGTAGGATAGACAACAAAGGGAGATGAAGAAGTGTGTAATTCTGTAGGATAGACAACAAAGGAGATGAAGAAGTGTGTAATTCGTAGGATAGACAACAAGGAGAGATGAAGAAGTGTGTAATTCGTAGGATAGACAACAAAGGGAGATGAAGAAGTGTGTAATTCGTAGGATAGACAACAAGGAGAGATGAAGAAGTGTGTAATTCGTAGGATAGACAACAAGGAGAGATGAAGAAGTGTGTAATTCGTAGGATAGACAACAAAGGGAGATGAAGAAGTGTGTAATTCGTAGGATAGACAACAAGGAGAGATGAAGAAGTGTGTAATTCGTAGGATAGACAACAAAGGGAGATGAAGAAGTGTGTAATTCGTAGGATAGACAACAAAGGGAGATGAAGAAGTGTGTAATTCGTAGGATAGACAACAAAGGGAGATGAAGAAGTGTGTAATTCGTAGGATAGACAACAAGGAGAGATGAAGAAGTGTGTAATTCGTAGGATAGACAACAAAGGGAGATGAAGAAGTGTGTAATTCGTAGGATAGACAACAAAGGGAGATGAAGAAGTGTGTAATTCGTAGGATAGACAACAAGGAGAGATGAAGAAGTGTGTAATTCATGGGATAGACAACAAAGGGAGATGAAGAAGTGTGTAATTCGTAGGATAGACAACAAAGGGAGATGAAGAAGTGTGTAATTCTGTAGGATAGACAACAAAGGAGATGAAGAAGTGTGTAATTCGTAGGATAGACAACAAGGAGAGATGAAGAAGTGTGTAATTCGTAGGATAGACAACAAAGGAGATGAAGAAGTGTGTAATTCGTAGGATAGACAACAAAGGAGATGAAGAAGTGTGTAATTCGTAGGATAGACAACAAAGGGAGATGAAGAAGTGTGTAATTCGTAGGATAGACAACAAGGAGAGATGAAGAAGTGTGTAATCTGTAGGATAGACAACAAAGGGAGATGAAGAAGTGTGTAATTCGTAGGATAGACAACAAAGGGAGATGAAGAAGTGTGTAATTCGTAGGATAGACAACAAGGAGAGATGAAGAAGTGTGTAATTCGTAGGATAGACAACAAAGGGAGATGAAGAAGTGTGTAATTCGTAGGATAGACAACAAGGAGAGATGAAGAAGTGTGTAATTCGTAGGATAGACAACAAAGGGAGATGAAGAAGTGTGTAATTCGTAGGATAGACAACAAAGGGAGATGAAGAAGTGTGTAATTCGTAGGATAGACAACAAGGAGAGATGAAGAAGTGTGTAATTCGTAGGATAGACAACAAGGAGAGATGAAGAAGTGTGTAATTCGTAGGATAGACAACAAAGGAGATGAAGAAGTGTGTAATTCGTAGGATAGACAACAAAGGGAGATGAAGAAGTGTGTAATTCGTAGGATAGACAACAAGGAGAGATGAAGAAGTGTGTACTTCGTATGATAGAAGAACAAGGAGAGATGAATAATTGCGTAGTATGTACGATAGATAAAAAGGAGAGATGAAGAATTGAATAATATATAGGATAGATAAAAAAAGAAAGAAAGAAGTGCGTACTCTCTACGACAGAACAAGGAGAGATGAAAAAGTGTGTACTCTATAGGACATGTAAAAAGGAGAGGGAAAAAGGTGTGTACTCTGTAGGATAGGTAAAAAGGAGAGGGAAAAAGGTGTGTACTCTGTAGGAGAGATAAAAAGAGATGAAGAAGTGTGTAATTCGTAGGATAGACAACAAAGGGAGATGAAGAAGTGTGTAATTCGTATGATAGAAGAACAAGGAGAGATGAATAATTGCGTAGTATGTACGATAGATAAAAAGGAGAGATGAAGAATTGAGTAATATATAGGATAGATAAAAAAAGAAAGAAAGAAGTGCGTACTCTCTACGACAGAACAAGGAGAGATGAAAAAGTGTGTACTCTATAGGACATGTAAAAAGGAGAGGGAAAAAGGTGTGTACTCTGTAGGATAGGTAAAAAGGAGAGGGAAAAAGGTGTGTACTCTGTAGGAGAGATAAAAAGAGAGGAAGAAGTGTGTAATTCGTAGGATAGACAACAAAGGGAGATGAAGAAGTGTGTACTTCGTAGGATAGACAACAAAGGGAGATGAAGAAGTGTGTAATTCGTAGGATAGACAACAAAGGGAGATGAAGAAGTGTGTAATTCGTATGATAGAAGAACAAGGAGAGATGAATAATTGCGTAGTATGTACGATAGATAAAAAGGAGAGATGAAGAATTGAGTAATATATAGGATAGATAAAAAAAAAAAGAAAGAAGTGCGTACTCTCTACGACAGAACAAGGAGAGATGAAAAAAAGTGTGTACTCTATAGGACATGTAAAAAGGAGAGGAAAAAGGTGTGTACTCTGTAGGATAGGTAAAAAGGAGAGGGAAAAAGGTGTGTACTCTGTAGGAGAGATAAAAAGAGAGGAAGAAGTGTGTAATTCGTAGGATAGACAACAAAGGGAGATGAAGAAGTGTGTAATTCGTAGGATAGACAACAAAGGGAGATGAAGAAGTGTGTAATTCGTAGGATAGACAACAAAGGGAGATGAAGAAGTGTGTACTTCGTATGATAGAAGAACAAGGAGAGATGAATAATTGCGTAGTATGTACGATAGATAAAAAGGAGAGATGAAGAATTGAGTAATATATAGGATAGATAAAAAAAGAAAGAAAGAAGTGCGTACTCTCTACGACAGAACAAGGAGAGATGAAAAAGTGTGTACTCTATAGGACATGTAAAAAGGAGAGGGAAAAAGGTGTGTACTCTGTAGGATAGGTAAAAAGGAGAGGGAAAAGGTGTGTACTCTGTAGGAGAGATAAAAAGAGAGGAAGAAGTGTGTAATTCGTATGATAGACAACAAAGGGAGATGAAGAAGTGTGTACTTCGTATGATAGAAGAACAAGGAGAGATGAATAATTGCGTAGTATGTACGATAGATAAAAAGGAGAGATGAAGAATTGAGTAATATATAGGATAGATAAAAAAAGAAAGAAAGAAGTGCGTACTCTCTACGACAGAACAAGGAGAGATGAAAAAGTGTGTACTCTATAGGACATGTAAAAAGGAGAGGGAAAAAGGTGTGTACTCTGTAGGATAGGTAAAAAGGAGAGGGAAAAAGGTGTGTACTCTGTAGGAGAGATAAAAAGAGAGGAAGAAGTGTGTGCTGTATAAGATATATAACAAGAGAGATGAAGAATTGCGTGCTATGCAAGATAGATAAAAAGGAGAGAGAGGAAGAAGTGCGAAATCTGTAGGATAGGTAACAATGAGAGAGGAAAAAGTCCGTACTTTCTAGGATAGATAAAAAGAAGAGGGGAAAAGGTGCGTGCTCTGTAGGATAGATAACAAAGAGAGAGGAAGAAGTGGGTACTACATATGACAGATAACAAGGTGAGATGAAGTTCATACTATGTATGATAGATGACAAGGAGAGATAAAGAAGTGCGTACTCTGTAGGATAAATCCCAATAGAGGAAGAAGTGCGTGCTATGTAGGGCAGATAAAAAGATGAAGAAGTGAGTACTTTGTTGGCTGGATAACAAGGAAGGAAGAAGAGGTGACAACTATGTGGCAAGATAACGGTCGACTCAAGTCTTGAAGAGTTTGAGATTGAAGTGTTGATGGTTGCTGTTAGTATGATTAGGAAGAGTGAGGTGTGTGATATGAATGTAAAAAGGACTGGTAGTAAGAGATTATTATTAGGGTAAGAAGGATAGGTACGATTGACCCTTGTTGATTAAAATTCTAGTAAACTTGATGGATCCATTCGGGAGATTATTCTACCATGTAAAAGTTTTGTGAAAGCAGCCGTGGGAACATATGATTTGACATATACGTCTCATGGCTGGTCTTAGCTGTGAAGGTCTAAACTGGTTTGTCTGAGGAATGTAGCTCGTATGAAGTTCTGTCATGAAAAGAGCTATAAAACAGAAAAGGACTAGCGTCGATTCCTCTGTGAGAAACGGACTTTAATAAATTCATCCCCCACAAAGCTGCGTAGACGCTACTGAGCACTCTCAAAACTGGAAAGAATGGATTGTGTGTACCCCTAACCCACATATCAATAATTCTCTCTCTGATCTGGTTTTTGTAATCTTAGAGTATGGCAGAAGGTGTCAGTTACTTTCTGGAGATTTACAAAGAACAGTCCATTTTTCCAACATCTTCAGCGATGTATCGTATATAAGAATTCCACTTGATTGATTCGTTTTTTAAGGTTTATCACTCCTTTGTAGGTCATTTAAAGCCAGAATTTTTTTTTTAGATTCTAAGAATTTTTTCATTTTTTTATTTTTTAGATATTACTGATTTAGTGATACAAGTCTTAGTTGGAGGGTGAAGAGGTGGATTCATGTCTTTCCCAAGAGTATTTGTGCGCAAGTGAATATAACGAACCCAACCAGAATTGGAACACGGCTCTCCGATTAATAATTCCGAGTTATTAGCCATTACACAATTCGGACCTTTAAAATTACAGCACCTAGCATACGCAAGCAGTCACCCATCAAGGTACTGTGAAGGCTCGACATTGCTTAACGACAGTACCGGTGTTTCAACGTGATGTGGCCGTAAGCCTGAATATAAACGGGTTTTATTATAATCACTTACGCGTTCAGTGGCCTTGGGAAATTTATAGATATATCTCTTCTCTCCCCACCCACTTCTAAATAGCAAACTGGTCCCTATAACTTTGGTCCCTATAAATTTGGTTCCTATAACATTACTTGCCAAGCATTCAAGGGGAAGGAAGTTCAAATCAGTCGGAAGAGGGTTGGGTGCCATCAGGCTAACTTTCCTAAGATCCACCTGTGCGGCTGCGGCTGCAATAGATGTGGTGACCCTAAGACCCTCAGGGGGTTACAGGATATGTGATCATAACAAGTTCAGAAGCACGTCTTCGAAACTGTTGTTCCCGCCTTTGGGTTGTCAATCGGAATCGGTCCCCGTTATACAGGGAATAATCATAGTTCATCCATTTCATTTTTTAATTATTATTATAAATATAATATTCTTAATTATTATCCCATTGGCATAATATAATATAATATAATATAATAGAGAAATATATTTACAAAAAAAAATCATTGGATTTATTCCATTTTCATGATCTTACACACACACACACACACAGATATATATATATATATATATATATGTGTGTGTGTGTGTGTGTGTATATATATATATTTATGTGTGTGTGTATATATATATATATATATATATATATATATATATATATATATATATGTATGTGTGTGTCTTTGTGTGTGTATGTATATATGTATGTATAGACAGTTCGAAATCGTTGAAAGCCATAAACTTAAAAGAAATGTCCTGAGTCCAAAGAATTCTCCAGAAATTTTGTTGAGGCGGGGTTAATCCTAATCAACTTTAATTCGTTTGCCTCTTTGAGATTCGCTTGATATGTCTTCAACTTCCAGAATATGCATCACAGGTTTCGACATAGTTCACATTTAGTGCTGCTGAAGTTCGTACAAAGGCAATAGTCAATGAAAGAAAAATTCTGAATGATTGCCGATATTGAAAAAAAAAATATATATATATATTTAAAGACATAACATTTAACTTTGTAATGGGGTGCGCATTTTACCCTACTGACCCTTCTTCAACTTTGACCGACGACACTGAGTCTTGTTCAGAATCAGAAAAAAAAACAAAAAACAAAACAAACATTTTTATTTCAAACCGTCTATAAAATAAAAGCAAGGATCACGAGAAGTGCCAAGAATAAGCCTATATTTTTACTGATAAAATTAGAACCTCACTGATCAGGACAACAAATCAATACAAGGGAACCTATGTTCTAATTGTATCTATCTAAAGTTAAAGACAGTATAATATGGGAACTAGTGAAAGTCACTTGTCAGATCAGTTAACATGAAAACCATTGTAGATTCAGTTTTAAGGGAAGAATACTGAAAAGTTAAACGATAACATAAAATAAATTTTATATAAACCTGGTAGTGGGCCTCTGTTTTAATTTTCACATATATACTGGCTTTAAATTTACAATGGCATAAGAAAAGTTTTTAGCCAGCAATTAAATCCGATGAAGTCTCAAAGGACAAAATGCGTCACACGAAGCCAGTTTTCCAATTTGTTCATAAATATTTCCCAAGAATTGTTCTTGATATATGACAAATGTATATATCGTCAACATATATATATATATATATATATATATATATATATATATATATATATATATATATATATATATATTTTAAAGAAGAAGAGAGTTGCCGCAAACGTTTTTTGGTTGTAATGTGGATTTATTTATGTAAAGCAAAGCATAATATATTTTTCTAAATAAATCCACATTACAACCAAAAAACGTTTGCGGCACCTCTCTTCTCTTCTTTTTAATATACATACTTTTCTCTCGTTGGAACCACTACAACCATTTTCTTTTGTATATATATATATATATATATATATATATATATATATATAAAGTGAACATGGAAGTCAACACTTAGAGGCGACAGTCTGTTTCATGCTATATGCAATCGTCAGGCCATCTAGCATGAAACTTACTGTCGCCTCTAAGTGTTGACTTCTATGTTCACTTTTATATTTACACACGCTCTATCTCTGATATTGAGCACTTTATCCCATAAATATAGCACATCTTAAGACTATATTTCTTCATATATATATATATATAGATATAAGACATTTTTATGCTGTACGTTCTTTTTATAGATACAGATATTTAAGTAAATGCTCTGTTTATACAGTATTAACAACATTTACTGGCCTGAATATTATATTATTATAAACAGAGCATTTACTTAAATATTTGTATCTATTAAAGAACGCATAAACATAAAACATGTCTTAAATAATTGTTGGCCTTTATCCATTTCATAATGTATGGTATATATATATATATATATATATATATATATATATATATATATATATATATATATATAGCATTCACACATAATTGTTGTCACAGTACAGCATATACTGTGGGGTATGATAAATTTTTACCCACACTTGAATACACAAATTTGCTTGTAAAATAATGTCTCTTCGTTTTGTTTTTTTTCAGACAATACTGTGTTTGTATCAAGCTACTCTAATCTATGAACGATAGTTGACTTATATGTTGCAATGAAATTGCGCGGAAGTAAAGAAATTGATGAATTTCAACAAGGGCAAATAATAGGATGGCATCAGTGTTGCATATCAAATAGAGAAATTGCTAGATATTGCCAGGTTAATCATCAAACGGTTAATAATATTGTCAAAAATTTAATAAAAAAGGGCATTGTCGTTTGGAAGAAAACTAAGCATTGTGGCTGAGCGAACGAGAAGTGCGCTGAAGAGGGAAGTCATCATAAAGCATCATTAGAGCGTCAAAGATGTTGCCAACAGCATGGAAATGTCACCATATGCGGTAAGAAAGACTCTGAAAGAGCTAGGCTATCAAAGAAGAGTTGCAATAAAGAAGCCCTTGAGGTCAGAGGTTCACAGGAACAAGCACATAGACTGACCGAGAGAATTCGAAAGCAAAGATTATGAATTTTGTTTATCTGCGATTTAGACAGAGGAAAACAAATTCTTCTAATATTCGAATTAGAGACAGTTTTATGTTTGGCGAAATCAAAATGAGACTTGTAACATTGTATGTCTGCAGGCGATCGGGAAACATGGAGGAATTGGAGTAATGGTGTGGGGCGATGTCTGGTTTGGAAATAAATCTGAGCTGATTCTTGTTGACGAGCAGTTGAATGATCCAAAATACTGACAAATATTAGAGAAAGGACTACTCGCACTATTTCAAAACAATCAAATTGACAAGAATGCTTACCTTTTTCAAGTAAGTGTGGGCGCCGTGTCATACGAGCAAGGTAAGAAAGGCCTGGAAGGAATCAAGCCATTGCCATGGGTAGCCCAAAGTCCTGACATTAATCAAATAAAGCACATTTGGGAGCACCTTGAGCGAAATAATTGAGAGCCTGCCACCAAAATCACGTCAGTGGCAACCCTTAAAGAAACATTGCTAAAGGAGAGGCAAACTGTGGACGATTGTTGATAACTTGATCAAATCCATGAAAAATCGAATACAAGCACTGAAACTAGCTAACTGAGGACTTACCCAATACTAGTTCCAAATACAGTTTATTTATGTTGAGTTGTGAATACGTAATTAAATTGGATGTAGTTTATTTCTCCAGGCTAAAAAGATTTCTTAGGCCACTCTTAAGTTAAAGGCAATATAACAAGACAAAATTAAAACAGAGCTACACTATCAGGTTTATATGAATGTTATTTTGCGTTATCGTTTAAATTTTCAGTATCCTTCCCTTAAAACAGAGACTCTATAAATATTTTCATGGCAACTGCTCTGACGATCTAATTTCACTGGTTCGCATATTATACTAGGTTTAACTATAGATAGATTCAATTAGAAAATACGTCCCCTTGTATTGATTTGTTGCCCTGATCAGTGAGGTTCTAATTTTATAACTGAAAATATAGTCTCATTTTTACCTTGTAGATACCAAGCACCGTCTTTGTCTTCTCTTATTTACTTGGTAAGCAGTAGTAATGTAAATTGTTCATTGGGAGCAACAAGACTGCAATACTTTCACTGGTAACCCAACTGCATGAATTCAATCGTACTCCTAGGCTGGCATCTCGCACCCACCATTTTATTGTTGAAACAGTTAAATGTAACCTCCTCTTCTACTCTAAGAGCTTCGTCTCTTGCACTTCCCGACAGTGGAACTCTCTTCCTCTTACTTTCTTCCCTGATAGCTATAATCTTCAAATATTCAAATGTAATTTCATTCGACATATTCTGATGTCTTGGTCTTGATCCCGTCCTTCTCTTTCTGCAAACCCCACTTTTACTCTTGCTCTCACTCTTTGTAACCCCTTGCGTGCTAGTGGCACTCACGCCTTGATTGCGGTGATATGTTTTAAAAAATAAATAATTGTCACATGTATGCAACTATATCATGAAAATAGTAATATTAGTCTACGAGGAAACATTCGACATTCATTGACCGAGCAGCCAGTTCCTCCTTTTGGCTGATAAAATCGTAAATTGAAATGAATGGTAACAGTAGAATTAGCTGTTTTCTTATAAGGGAACATATGGCATTCATTGACTGAGCAGCAAGTGTTCCTCGAGTGACGTTTTACTTCACTCTTTGGCCATAAGCCTGTGATCAAAGTTTAGCATCTGTTCTCATCTCTAATAGTATTGGTTATATTAGCCGATTCCTGATAATGAAACATTCTGCATTCATTAACCGAGCAGCCAGTGCTATTCGTTATGGGGTTTTCTTCATACTTTGGCTATCAAAGTGCAGTATCTGTTCTCCCCATATCTCATAGTAATGTAATAATGACCGTCTCCTTATATGGAAACATTCGGCTTTCATTGACCGAGCAGCAAGTGTTTCTCGAGTGTCACTTTTCTTTGCTTCTTGGTCATCAGATTAGGATCAAAGTGTAGTATCTGTTCTCCTTATCTCTAATAGCAATGACAATAATATTAGTCAATTTCTTAATAAGAAATGCTGGGCATTCATTGACTAAGATACAAGTTTTCCACGATTAACGTTTTTCTTCACTCCTTGGCCACCGGGATGGAAGCTGTAATCCTCATCTGTATCGGTAAATAGCCGTTTCCTTAAAAGGAAACATTTAGCATTCATTAACCGAGCAGCAAGTGTTCATCCAGCGACGTTTTACTTTACTCGTTGGCTATCAGATTCGGATCAAAGTGTAGTATCTGTTCTCCTCACCTGTCATGATAATAGCCGTTTACATATAAGGAAACATTTGATCGAGCAGCAACTGCTCGTCGAGTGAGGTTTTCTTCACTCCGTGGCCATCTTGCTAGGATCAATATATAGTATCATTTCTTCTAATTTTTGATAGTCGTAGTAATATTATCCGTTTACTTATGAAGAAAAATTTGCCATTCATTGACTGAAGAGCAGGGGTTTCTCGAGTGACCTTTTGTTCCTCACGCCTTGGCCATCGGGCTAGGATCAAAATATAATATCAGTTCTCTACGTTTCTAATAATAGCGGTAATTTAAGCCGTTGCCTCATAAGAAAACGTACGCCATTCATTGTCTGAGCAGAAAGTGTTCTTCTAGTGACACTTTTCTTCACTCTTCAGCTATCAGACAAGGATCAAAGTTCTCATTTCTAATGGAAATATTAACCGTTTTCTTATAAGGAAACATACGGCAAACAATTATGGATAAATACCGCTAATATCATGAATAGAGTGGTTGCTGAGATCAACACCGAGCGATGACATTCTGTCTCTTGTCTGAACGCAATTCTTCATGCCATTCTTGAAGTTTTGAGAATTTTTATATCTGTTGTAACTGCTCTAGATTATTGTAAGTTTAGTATATCATTCTCAGATATCTAATAAGTCGACTTGCCCGCTGTTGTTATTCCAGTTCGAAGGAGACACTTGTAACAGCTCTTTGAATATACTCCACTAAACACCGTTTGTCACGGCTGACTAGTTTACTAAGAAGATATAGAATAAATGACGGGAAATTTGAACTATCGCGGAGTAAGAAATAAGAAAGAATAGACCTTAAAAATTAAGACTAACTGTAACAATAGAGATAAAAGCAACGAAGCAATATTGCCCCTAAAAAGGGACTTTTTTCTTCACTCCTTGGTCATCGTGCTAGGATCAATATATAGTATCATTTCTGCTAATTTTTGATAGTCGTGGTGATATTATCCGTTTACTTATAAGAAAACGTCCGCCATTCATTGATTGAAGAACAGGGGTTTCTCGAGTGACCTTTTTGTCCTTCCTTGTCCATCGGGCTAGGATCAAAATATATTATCAGTTCTCGTTTCTAATAATAGTGATAATATAAGCCGTTACCTCATAAGAAAACGTACGCCATTCATAGTTTGAGCAGCAAGTGTTCTTCTAGTGACAGCAAGAAATAAGAAAGAATAGGCCTTAAGAAGTAAGGCGAAATGTAACGATAGAGACAAAAGCAACGAAGCAATGTTGCTCGTAAAAGGTTTTAACTTTAAAACAACAGTAACTGCAAAGTTGTCGAAAGACACGAACTTAGCGTTGGTAATTGGAAACAATAAAGAAAATAGTGAAAATAATTGCAAGATAAAATAAAGCAGATACTGACTTTAAAAATATCATAAAATATATCATGGCAAATGTTTGTTAAAAATATGTGACAATTTCAAAATGCGATGCGAAATATTGCAGATTGTCGAGCCAAAAATATTTCAAGAGGCTGTCGCTGGAATTGCAAACAGACAAAAAAAGCATAATATTAAGAACATCGACTATGGAAAACAAACCAAACAGCCCATTTAAGTCATTTTTACAAAGGGATAAGGTTAAGTCGGGCGAAGTAGTATATGAAAACGTAATTTTCTATAGTGAATTGAAGTGATAAGTGAAGAAATGTCGGATGGTTGTAGAACAACGGTGTCCAAATTTTTGCACCACAGACCGATGTCGTGTAAGCTAGTTTGCCTCCGGAACGGGTGTGGTGGTAAGAAACCTCTATGACAGTCACGCGCAAATAAAACAAAATAAACAAAACCGCGATAGTCAATAAAATGAAAAGTTTTTATTCATTCTATGTGGCCCGGTAATAAATGGTCCACAACACGGTACCGGACCGCGACCTGGAAGCTTGGGACCACTTGTGAAGAAGAGAAAAGTTAATTGGTCGAGTAAAGATTGATCTAATGAAAGTGATAAATCTATAGGTCTCTTCAAAGTCGATGTAAAGATAAATGCAGATTATAATTATTAGTTATGCCAGGTGATGCTTGGTGATGCAGGTCCCAAACAATGTGATAATGCTACTGGTATGTAGGAGTTTATAGGGAGTGAACGAGAAAGGGAAGACTGTAGCGAGCCGAAGTCGGGAAAGGACAATAAAGAACAAGGTTCAGGAAGACAGAAAAAAGGGTTGCATTTAATTTCTTTTAGAGAATTTTGGTTGCTGAGAGAAAAGTAAACGGAAAAAAAAGTTCCACGGGTGTGAGACAATAAACCTTTATAATAGAAGTGAAGTTTACATCTAGCTAGTTCCACTGTAAAACGATGAGACCTATCTCTCTCTCTCTCTCTCTCTCTCTCTCTCTCTCTCTCTGTATACATACATATATATATATAGATATTTGTTGAACTCGTAGCAGGCTTAAATTGATAGAGTCGATGAACTCAAGTGAACTATTTCCATGTAAATATTGTTATGAAAAAGACAGACAGAAGACATGTCAATTCGGTGAGAAAGTGACTGCAGTCGAAATGCCAGTTCAGGGTCGATTATATTGCAGACGCTTCTTTGAATTTTTGCCAAGAATCGCGAGGTATACAGCAGGGGCAAGACACCAGGTATGGCAGCAGTATTCAATGCGCTGATAAATCGTACATTTATAAATGTACAAGATGAATTCTGACGAGAAAGAAAAAAAAAAACATTTCTGGCAAGATAAAGTAAACAGTTGATTCAATATAATCTCTTCAGATGCAGGTTCCAACCAAGGCGATAATGCTGCTAGTATATAATGGAGTTTACAGGGAGTGAAACAATATTTTAATGAGCCTGCTGGCCTGAAAATTCAGGAGATTTTATTAAAGATAATTCGCCTTCCGGCATGAATCGAACCTGTGACACCCTTTACACAAGAAATTACCGTTCAGTCCAACATGACCGACCGACTAATACAATTTTCACAAGCAGGTAAGGTCTTTTTTGCCTGTAAAGCACTCATTCGGTCGGTTTTTCTCCAATACAATAACACCTCAGGTCATCCAGAACGTAAAGAAGGTGTAATTAATAAAAATATAATCCACTAATATGTTTAGAAATTGCTCGCTCTATCGATCGATCGGCCGATCGATCGATCTATCTATCTATCTATCTATCTATCTATCTATCTATCTATCTATCTATCTATCTATCTATCTCTCTCTCTCTCTCTCTATATATATATATATATATATATAGTGCCATGGATAAATTGTCGTCTAAATGCATACACAGTGTGCGATGGATAAACTGTCGTCGTTATTACGCAAAATACATCTATAGTGTGCGATAGATAAATTTTCGTCAAATGGATGCAGAAATAAAAATAACACTGACATCTCAGTTTAAAAGATATACTTACTAAAACTACACAAAAATATCTTGAAATACTAAAGTGTAAATTCATTCACTAAAAACGGCATAGGCTTCTAACATATCCTCCAGAAGATTTCGGAATCTCCTATATCTCTTCTGGACAGTCTCCTTGGTGAATGCTCCTATAATTCTTGCCTTCATCTCATCTTTTGTGTTACAAGTAATTTTGTTGGTCTCTCATACAACTGTGCCCTGAATATAATAATCAAAAAGGGGGTGCAGTCTGGGGAGTTAAATGGGCAGATGTAAGGGGTGATGTTACTGCAAAAATTGTCTAAACAGCCATGACTAAGTTCTCCTACTTTTCTGAAATGGTAGAGACTCCTGTTGCCAGATATATGCTTTTCCAGCAGCCACCCTCTTGACCCAGGGCAGCACTACCCTCCCAAGGAACTTGATGTAGGCCTCTGTTGAGTCTGAGATCCTGTGGGAAGATAAATGTAGGCATAACAGCTTCACTTCAAGCTCCTTCATAATCACCATTAGACTCATCCAACTCTTTCCGAATTCTCTATACCGTCATCAGATTAGCACCCAAACACACTGAAATGTTCGCATTGAAGTTTCGTGCGCGAATGCCAAGCAATACAGCAAGCCGTTTCCTAATATCTAGTGAAGTGAACTGTATCATGATGCTCTTTTTCGTACAGCCAGTAGCCAGCAGTCCCAATTATACTGTATATATGTATTATAGTGTGCTGTCGACAAAATCACAAACAAGCAACGCATATGCGAAATCCATCGCATATATGTATAGTTGTGTATTAGGTATCAATCTTTCTATAATATATATTTCGTTATACGTCTTTATTGTAAATATTGGGTGTGAGAAAATACGCTTTATTTTTTTGGATTTCATAGGCGTAGAAATTGTTCAAACGATTGTTCCTTCCAAGCGTTTTCGTCTAATCTCTTAGCAATTTGGATGGATTTTGGCTGAGTTAATATAAATTCTGTTCAAATACTATTGTAAAAAGTGTGGCGGCCGCGAATAGATAAACGTATTCTTAATATATGAATACTTGCAATTTATACGTAAATCCACACGCGTTTATATGCGTGCGGGAATAGATAGATAGATAGATAGATAGATAGATAGATAGATAGATAGATAGATAGATAGATAGATGTTCCTATTTGTGATTGACTCCTGGAAAGGTCACGAAGTCTTCGGAGGTCAGATTCATTTCGGCGTTTGGCAAATTTGCCAAATGACCCGATTCCAATATCGAATCATATTACGTTTCCCGCTGCACACATCTTTCCCGCGCGTGATTGTTCGGGGTGGATGGGTACCGCTGATTCTAATTACACCACAATAGAAACCAAAACCCTCCCTGGGAAACCTACACACTCCTCACACCCACCCTCTTCTCATTAATCATGGGCCGCTTGGTTGAGGACTATCGATCTGGACATAATTGTATCCACTATTTCTGATCTCCTTGACATCCAACATTTCTCTCCCCCTTCGTTTTTGCTTCAATTTCATATTTGCCTCTCTTTCTCTCTACCTATCTATCTATCTGTCTATCTCTAACTTTCTCACCTATTTTTTCTCTGTCTCACTTTCTCTTTCGTTTTCTCTTTCTCGCTCTGTCTTGTCTCTGTAGACGAATCTATTATTCATCACACTATTTGTATTTCGATTACCTTAATGGCCCCCGCCTTATCTCACTATATATATATATATATATATATATATATATGCGTGTGTGTGTTCGTGCGTGTGCGTGTGTGTGTGCGTGTGCAAATATATAGAAAAATAGGAAAGAACATGAAGTTCTTTTGTATTTTTTTTATTTAAAAAAAAAAATTACTCAATGCAAAAGTAGAGCTCAAATTAAAATTATTTTTTCAAAAATATGATTCCTTCGCTACATAGGAACCTAAATTCCAACCCTCACCTCACAGTCGGTGGGGGGGGGGGCAAACGGTAGTGTCAGAGCTATGCCGCCCGGAACTTCGTTCCTGGTAGGGCCACCCAAGGCGGACAGGTCTGACACACACGCCGGCTAACAAGGGCTCTGGTGAAAATCCAAGGAGCGTCTGCATCGGTAACCGGCGGCTTCTGGTCATTCCTGTCTCTGCGTCTATGGGAACCCCGCGGCAAGCAAGAACGTCATCCGAGTAGGCCTGGGTGCCCTACTTCTGTAATTTATCCCAAGAATCTTCTTCTCATAACAGGAAGAAGCCGGCTCAATCCGCCCAGGGTGAATGCCGCATCAGAACCTTAATTAGGACTCCTAAAATTTCGCTTGAGAATTAAACAGAGCTTGGAACTTTAATTCAATTTAATTTCAATAACTACGTTGAATTATTGGCTCTTGTTTTTGAAACAGGAGAACTCTTATGTAGCGAAAGAATCATATTTTTAAATAATTATAATATATATATATATATAATATAAATATTATATATATATATATATATATATATATATATATATATATATATATATATAATGTAAATAAAGAAAATAATGTAATATATATATATATATATATATATATATATATATATATATATATATATAAAATGTCAAGTTTTGCACTAATATTTTTCTTTTTACTATTCATTTTGGAAAAACACAGCATACTTAGTTACCTCCCCTTAAACGGTTTCAGCGGTCACGCACTGACACAGAGATCCTCACTCCACTTTAAGAAATTTAACTTTTAAATAACACAATAATTTTGTCTTTGACACTAACAAACACTACACTATTTATCTTGT